CCCTTTCTTTCTTTCTTTCTTTCTTTCTTTCTTTCTTTCTTCCTTCCTTCCTTCCTTCCTTTCTTTCTTTCTTTTCTTTCTTTCTTTCTCTTTCTCTTTCTTTCTTTCTTTTTCTTTTCTCTTTCTTTTTCTTTCTTACCTCTCTTCCCTGCCTTCCTTCCTTCTTAAATTATTTGTTTTTAAAAATCTGTCACCTTGGTTTTTTCTATGGCACTTTCTGAGCATTTGAGAAACACAGTAGGGAGGCGAGTGTAACAGGCCCCATGCACCCATCACACGGGCAGTCTTGGCTCTTGGTTAATCAGATCTCCCTGCTTCCCTAACTGTGTTACCTGAAGCAAATCTCAGAGATCTTTTTGATTCTTCTGTAGATGCTTCACTACATCCCACTGTTTTAAAAAGGCCTTTGTAGATGTCTAAGCGGACTGTCCCGTATTGTTGCATATGTAGGTTGTTAGTTTGTTTGTTATAAATAACCCTGCAGTGAACATATTTGTGCATGAGGCTTTCCCCCATCTTTAGGGCTGTTTCCCTGGGGTGGGCCCCACAGGTGACATTATTGGGGCAAAGAGAACGAGGGCATACAGACTCCCTGTATCTGACTCCCACCCCTGGTTCTCCCTAGGCTGACTTTGCCATTGAGACCTCGGCCAAGGCCACCTACGAGCGCATGTTCCGCTGGCTGGTGCTGCGCATCAACAAGGCTCTGGACAAGACCAAGAGGAAGGGCGCCTCCTTCATTGGGATCCTGGACGTCACCAGCTTCGAGATCTTCGATGTAAGTGCTTCCTTTCTGCCCTCTTCCATCTCCTTAGCCTCCGGGCTGCCTTCTCCTTGGGCCCGGAAGCCTCATTCCCGAGGTCCCAGATAATCCCAGCCAGTCATCTCCTTCCCTGCGTGGAGACAGGAGATACCAGTTGGGTGTGTTGTAAGCTAAAACCAGATGCCCTTTCCCAACCAGAAATGCTGGTGGGAATAGGACCTTCTAGATGGTGCTCCAGGAGGCCACACGGGCAGGGGCTTTCTGTTGATTTATTGATTACTTATTCTCAGAAATTTATTTTGAGTGTTGGGACAAGACATGGTCCTTGCCCATAAAGGCTTTGAGGTCAGGTAAGAAAAACTGATCCTTACAGATCAGAGGTTCTTAACCTGGGGTCCATGGCCGATTTCAGAGGAACCATGAACTTGGGTGGAGAAAATCAGCTCTTTATTTTTGTATAAATATTTAAAAATATGTATAGATATATTTATGTTTTTATAAATATTTATATATTAAGTATATAACATATATTTATGTTATACATTTATATAAATTTTTAAAATAAATATTAAAAAATAGCTTTTCACTAAACTGTCATTGAAATGACACAGTGTTTCCATCAGTGGCCTGAGCAGCGCACACAGACCACAGGTGTGTTTGCAGTGCCTGTGACCCGTCTGCAGTAGAAACCAGACGTGTTCACGTCAGAGCAGTCGTTGCAAAGATGTTGTCACATCATTTACATTAATTTCTACCTCGAATTTCTGGAAGTTATTAAGCCCACGGCTTGTGCTTGGTCATAAAGAAGCAGGATGTGTCCATCTGTCATAAGATTTTGATAATTACATTTCAACATAACTGCCTTCTTTTGGAATCGACTTTATGCATTTTAAAGCGTAATTCTGCTATAAGGGGCTTCAGCCGACCCTTGGACGGCCCTCGGGCCCCAGCAGGGGGGCCCCTGCTGCTGGGCGGGGGAGGGGAGGCCCACAGGGGCGGCTCTGAGCGGCCCGAGGTGCTTCCAGGCCCCGCCCCTTCCCTCCCGAGGGCGGGGCGGCCGTCTCTCTGACCTCCTTTCCCTCCCGCAGCTGAACTCCTTGGAACAGCTCTGCATCAGCTGCACCAACGGGAAGCTGCAGCAGCTCTTCAACCACCCGATGTTCGTCCTGCAGCAGGAGGAGAACCAGCGCGAGGGCATCGAGTGGAGCTTCATCAGCTTCGGCCTGGACCTGCAGCCCTGCACCGAGCTCATCGAGAAGCCGGTAAGCGCCGGGCCTGCGGGGCCTCACGCGGGCCTGCCCTCTGCCCCTCTGGGGACCACCCTCTCCTCACCCCCAGCCCCTGTGGCTTGTAGGGATCTAGTTCCTCTCCCTGTCGGTGCCACCTGGAGGAATAAGCCGGAGGGGTTAGATCTGGTGTCCGGGAGCCTCGCCCAGCTGCCGACCAGGTGGGGATGCGGCTGGTGACCGGGTGGCCTGTCTCCGCAGCTCCCGGAGGGGTGGGCTCAGCCAGCCCTTCTGCGTCTGACACAAGCAGGAATGCTTTACTGGGGAGAGCCTCTCCCCGATGCCTGCGCTGCAGCACAGACTCGTGCCGCCCCCGGGGTCGAGTGCTGCTTCCGAAGCTCGGCCACCCTCCCTCAGGACCAACACTCCTGTGGCCTCAGCTGTGGGAGGGAGGGTGATGGTAGCTCAGAAGCCCTTACTCTTTTCTATCAGTTAACATTCAAATCTCTGGTCAGGGGCAGTTTGAGTCACTTGTTTGTGCTTTAGGGTGGGGGGAGGGGGAGGTCTATAACGGAGTCCGGGCTGGTTCTGCTTCTGGGTTAGCTCTTGTTTAAAGGCACTAAACTCACATCTTGCCAGAATCCTGAGCTGCTTAAGGCTGTGTACACCAGAGACACACTGAAATGTTAATTAATCAAAAGGTCTATGGGGGGAGGGTATAGCTCAAGTGGTAGAGCACATGCTTAGCATGCGTGAGGTCAAGGGTTCAATCCCCAGTACCTCCATTAAAAATAATAAACTGAATTACCTCACCCTGCCAAAAAAAAAATAAATAAAACAAAGTAAGTAAAAAAAAAAAGGCCTAGGACATTTGCGCATTTTGAAAGTATTACCTGAGGTGGGGTAGGGTGGTGGTGGAACTATCCACAGTCCTAACACAAACTGATGTACTTTTGTGAAGAGGTTTTGTTTGTTTGTTTGTTTTTTAGTTTAAATCAGTTGCATTTTCCAATGAACAAGAATCCACCTGGTTTCCACACTGGTCAGCCAGTCCCCACAGTGTCTGAGTCAGCTCTCTCATAAACTCAGTGTACAGAAGGCTCTTGGGGGTCTGGGGCACTTTCTCTTCCTTGAGAGGCTTGTCCTAAATGTCGCCTCTCACCACATAGCTGTGAAGACACAGAGCGTGTGGGGTGGGGTGCCCCAGAGCGACTTCTGGGGCCCGGGTACCTGTTGAGGGCAGCCTCCAGGACGTGGGTCAGGGGTCTGCATGGCCGTCAAGCCCACTAGTGCACTAATTGGAGAACCTTGTGATGGATCATTGGGTTGAGGTGGGGGGGCCATAGCCTAGACCCCAGAAGTTTATTTTTAAACAAGAATTCTTAAATTGAGTGCTTTCAGTAATGTTCCTTATTTTTTTCTCCTGTGGGGGAAGCACCGCCCACCTTCTGGAGAGATTCTGGAGTTTCCGAAAACCAGGCTTTGGCTTCTTTCCCAGGTGAGGATGGGTGGTTCCTACAGTGAGCTCACCTGTGCGATGCTGTGCTTCCTCCAGGCAGGCCCCCCTGGCATCCTGGCCCTGCTGGACAAGGAGTGCTGGTTCCCCAAAGCTAGCTTCCCCAAAGAGCTTTGTGGAGAAAGTGATGCAGAAGGAGGGCACCCACCCCCAAGTTCCAGAAGCCCAAGCAGCTGAAGGACAAAGTTTATTTCTGCATCATCCACTATGCAGGCAAGGTGAGGAGAGCGCACACCAATGAAGGTGCCGGCCGGACCATCTCCAGAGACATAGAGATGATATTAAGACCATGGTGGGGGCAGGGGGGGCCCAGTATTCTGGTCTTGTGACTCAGATAATGTTCCTGGAGGGGATATCCAGCATTCACGTGACTCCACCACCTTGCAAAGTGTGTCACCATTTACATTTTGTTAGAAACTTGCAGCAATTGGTAGGATACTCAGGCTGGTCTCATGTGTACTACTATTAGGGGAATTTTGCAGGTGGGGAGGTGAGATCTGTACTAAAGGCAGGGCCTCTGGAGTCTGAATTAGAGCTCCGCTACTGTGTGACTTTGGGTGGTTTCCTTAACCTCTCTGAGCCTTGGTTGCCTCGTCTGGAAAATGAGGGTGACCACTGCTGTATGGGGTAAGGTCTGTTAAAGGAGCTTGTGAAACCCAGGCTGCGCAGTCAGTGCTGTGGGGTGGGGCCTCCCAGTCTCCAACTGCAGACAGGGGCCAGGTCAGTCTTTATTGTGAGACATTGTCCTGAGCTTTGTAGGATGTTTAGCAGCATCCCTCCCTTCTCCCCACTGGGGGTCAGTAGCGCCCTGCCTCCTTGGAACAACCAGGAACATCAGATATCCCCAAACATCTGTGGGTTGGGGTGCCAGACAGTCCTCTGGGTGAGAGCCACAAAAGACAAAAGCCTGCAGGAGCAAGGCCTGGACTGTCAGGTTGGAGGTCAGCTGTGGCCTTCGACCCACAGGGCCTTTGCCAAATGGCAGCAGCAGCTGATGGCCATGAAGGTCCTGCAGAGGAACTGTGCCGCCTACCTCAAGCTGCGGAACTGGCAGTGGTGGCGGCTCTTCACCGAGGTGGGTCTGGAGGGGCCTCCATGTGGCCGAGGGGACCAGCGGGCCTCCCGTGGCCTCCTGGGGGCTCAGGCCCCGGGAAGGGCACTTTGCCTTCATGGCCCGTGCCCTGTACCTGAGCCCGGGATGGTCCTGCCCTGTGGGGTCTGGCGAGGCGTGAGCCGGGGCATCTGTACGGGGTGGAGGCCAGGGCCACTGTCGGGCTGGGCCAGAGCGGCTCCAGGAGCAGCTCCGGGAGGTCCAGGCCGCGCCCCTCCAGACCCCACATGGTGAGGCCACTGCCCGCCCGGAAACCAGAGGTCGGTGAGTCAGAATCTGCACAGGGCTGGTCCTCCCTAGTGTTTAAAAAAAAAAAACTCTTTATTATTTTAAGATTGGTCAGCCTGCTTTTGTTGCCAATAGATAATTTGTGCTAACTGTGATAAGTTAGACTTTAAAAAACTTTCTTTTCTCTCTCTCCCTGTAATAGTAAAATTTCAAGTCCTTCTCGCTGCCTAGGAGGGGAGCAGCAGGAGGTGATGGGAGAAGTAGGTGGGGGTATCAGGGCAGGGCTCGGGGGCTACTTCCTGCCCCTCAGGCCACCCTCCCCTGGAGGCTCTGGGGGAGCCCTTCCTTGCCTGTCCCAGCTTGTGGTGGCTTCAGGTGTTTTCTGGCTTGTGGCTGCATCATCCAATCTCTGCCTCCGTCTTGCCGTGGCCGTCTCCCCTACTCCCTGTTATCTTTCTGTGCATCTCTCGTAAGGACACTGGTTTGATCTAGGGCCCACCCAGATGGTCCATGGTTATCTCATCTCAAGATGTTTACCTTAAAGGATTTGCAAAGACCCTTCTCCACATGAGGACCATTCACTGGTTGCAGAGATCAGGTCATAGACATATCTTTTGAGGGGGCCACCTAAATGGACACTATAGGACAGAACAAATATCAGTTCTCCCCATTAAGATCCTGTGGCTTGACTGTTCACCGCAGGGGGAAGGGCTGGACCAGGTCCCCACCTCTGCCCATGGCAGGGTGGGTGCAGTCACCAGGGTTACCTGACGCACCCACCACACATGAGCCTGAAAGCCCAGAGGCTACTGATTCCAAAGTTCCTTGTGGAAGGGAGGGGCTCTCGCGCCTTCTCCAACCATCCTCGTGCTGTCTGTAGAGCCTAAAGTGTGCTAATGCCCACTCCTGCCCCGGCCTCTCCCCCATGACTGCTGGGCATCCCCCCTTCACTGCTGGTCCCTGAGACGGACTGTCACCCTGCCCCCAGAATGTCCTCACCTTCCCTACTTGCATCCACTGGGCTGTCAACTGTCCCACTGGTCTTTGGTGGCATTAGAGACCTCCTCATCCCTAATTCTGCCCAATTGCTTATTTTTCCAAATAACTTCAGATCTTGCACCCAGGCTATGGTTGTAACTATGTTTCCTGATTCTGGCCCCCTTAGGGTGATAGAGCCCCTGGTGAAACTCTCAGAGGGGCACCACTGAGGGATAAAGAAATGTGAGAGGGAGAGAGATCACATCTGATGGCATGTCCCAGCATCTCCCTGCTACACGCCCACAATGGGCGTTTAGACAGAGGGTGGGGTGGGGGCCTGGCTAACGGATATTACTCCCTGATCATGTGATTGTTGAGCAAATAAAAAGGTTTTAGTTTCCTATTAAGTTTCTTTTAAAATTTTGCAGTGGAAATTGATCTAGAGAGAGGAGCGGAAAAAGATGGTACTTCCTCTGTATTTTTTGAAATAATTTTTAAACAGCGATTTTGTATTTTTCCCCCCAAAGATGCTGTGGCTTTTCTGGATTGATGACTATAGAAGAGACCAATAATTGTCCCCAAATTTTTATCCTTTCCTCCTTTTTTAAAAAACTATTTTTTTTACTTTTTCTTATTTTGGTAAAATATACATAGCATAAAATTGACCATCTAAACCATTTCTATTGTCTTCATTTTTTTTTCATAGAGAAGCTGCTGTTAGCTGGGCACATGGGAGCCCAGCCTCCCTTGTAGCTCCATGTAGCCTCATTACTACAGTGATGGAAGGCGAGGGGAATGATGTGTACACCTTCTGGGTCATTCCCTTGAAGGGAAATTCCTGCGCTCTGTGTCCTCCTTTTGGGCTGGAATGTCTGGGTAAGTACCAGTCTCCATGTAGAACAGAGCAACCTCTGGTGATGATGTCAGAGCAGCAACAGATTAGATTTCTGGTCAACCTTTGGCAGCAAAGCCAAACTGCCTAGCAACTGGGGCTTTCATGTCTGAAATAAATAAATCTGTGCTGTTTGAGTCAACATGTTAATGTTTTGTGAGCTTGTTGTCACAGCAGCTCAGCATCTACATCCTAACTAATACAACGACCATCTCTGGGTTTCATCCCCTCCCTTGACTGTGAGTCATCTCATCCTTTCAGAACTTGGTCTCTCTGCTCAGCCCCTGTGGGTTGACCATGGCTTGATTGACTGTGGCTTTGACGTTGACGTCTCCCTGGATCCTGCCTCTGAGCCCCCATCTCTCCAGGGATCCGTACACTGTGGCCTGTGAATGAGTGGCCTCTTCAGGCTTCCAAGGCTCAGTTCCCAGACTGGCCCAGCTCAGCTGTTGTATCAGAAAACCTCAAGGACCAACCCCCGACCCTCATTCCCATCCCTCTGCCTACCTGTTAGCACCCACATGTTCCCAGTGGAATAGACAGATAGGGGTAGGAGTGAAGCAGCCATAGGCTGGGGCAAGAGGGCGGGGGACCTGGGACTAACTGCTAATAGGTATAGGGGTTCTTTTGGGGGTGATGGAAATGTTCTGGAATTAGGTAGTGGTGATGTTTGCACAACACAGTGAATATACTAAAAACTACTTTTAAATGGTGACTGTTATGTTACGTGACTTACATCTCAGTTTTCTTAAATGCTGCTTTTTAAGAAGCCATAGAGAGAGAGAGATGGGGAAAGACATCCTGGAAAGGGACCGGGAGGGGCTTACGCCTGGTCGGATAGAAGAAGGACAGGGCAGAGGGGAGGAAGCAGTGACCAGGTCTCCTGCTGCAGTAAGCAAAGTGACAAGTGCCGGGGGTCATACCAGGAGCTGCTGGTTCCCAGAGGTGAATCACATTCGGGGGCTCTGGCGGGGTCCCCAGCTTGGTGGAAGGAGGAGATGCCCTCTTTCTGAGTCTAGGAGCTCTCGACCACAAACAGGAATGAAAGAGACACACAGGCCTGTGGATGGGCGTCAAGGGCAGTTTGCTTAGTGAAGTTTTAAAAGGCCAGTCTTCAAGGGTTACATACTGTGTGATTCCACTTATAAAATATTCTCAAAATAGCCAACGTTTAGGAATGGAGAACCTTTCAGGGGTTGCCAGGGTTTAGGGAAGCCACGGGAAAGTAAGACCCTAAGGGGTAGCACAGGGAGTTCCTTCGCGGTGACAGAACAGTCTATGTGGATTGTCGTGATGGCTAAATGAATCTGCACATGTGATAAGACGTCAGAGGACTGTCCCAATGACATAAAAATGCGTGCATGTAACACTGGTGAAAGTCGGGGGGTGGAAAGGGACAGACTGGTAGTTCAAAATCTGCAGATACTGACAGGCATATGCAGAACAGATAAACAAGATTATACCGGATAGCACAGGGAAATATATACAAGATCTTGTGGTAGCTCACAGCGAAAAAAGAATGTGACAATGAATATATGTATGTTCATGTATAACCGAAAAATTGGGCTCTACGCTGGAATTTGACACAACATTGTAAAATGACTATAACTCAGTAAAAAAAAGTTTTAAAAAATTAAAAAATAAATTCATGAACTATGGAAAAAAAATACTGCTGAAAGTTGAGGAAGGTCTATAGCCTGGCTGGTTCTATTTTGAAAGCCACTGTCATGTAAGATGTCACCATGGCATGGGAACTGGGCGAGGGGTACACAGGACCTCTCTCTACTGTTTTTTGTCTTGTGAGCCTATAATAATTTTTTCTTTGAGCC